ATTATATGATCAAAACGTGCTCCATCTTGGCTTTACAACTCATACGAAAACAAACCCTTTTCCGGGTATTTTACTCTGTTTCGACATTTCTTCGTGGTTGAGAAATTCCAAAACATCTCAGGTGGTTTTTGGCGGGGTGAAGATAAGGTATTTGATGAAATGCCTCACTGAACTATCCATGTTGTATTGAGCCAGCACTGTTATTAGATTCTCCGTCTGTGATCCTTTATTTTGTTCTTGCTCAGGTTCCAAGAGATATCAAATCAAACTCTCTAATGAGTACCCGTTATTCCACTCAATTGCAATCGTCAGCCATTCTATCCATCACTGTCTCGTCATCTTCTTCCTTAGATTCCACGCCGCGGGAAGAAAACAGTCACAATGCCGCAGTTTCCGAGAGCTCTCCATCGTCCTTGTTGATGAGACTGGCCATGAGGGTATCTAGAGCAAGGTGGTTCATTTTCTTGAGAAGAGTGTTTCATTACCAGAACGGCTCAAGATCCGATCTTGGCACCAATCCTTTCAATTCAATCACTTGGATGATATCAGAGCTCATCGCTTTACTTGTACAGATCACTGTGATAACATTCACACTAGCTTTGTCCAAGAACGAGCGGCCTATTTGGCCTGTGAGGTTCTGGATCACTGGCTACAACGTCGGTTGTCTGCTCAATCTCATGCTGTTATACGGTCGGTACCGTCAGCTAGACATTAGCCAAGGAAATGGATTTGGTGATATTGAGCAGGAACAAAGAGGCAGAGAAGATCATACCAGGTCTATTCCGAGACCTGAATTCAAGATTGAACAGAGATCATAAATTTGGAATGTAAAGGTCTCTAGACACTCACAGGTTCTGTCTGTGTGTTTCAGGTGCTCACATTTGATGAACAGATGCCGAACATCGCTGGAGCTTTTCTTTGCGATATGGTTTGTGATAGGTAATGTATGGGTTTTTGATTCTCGGTTTGGTTCTTTCCACTATGCTCCAAACCTCCATGTCCTTTGCATCACCCTTCTCGCTTGGAACGCTCTTTGCTACTCCTTCCCATTTCTTCTCTTCCTCCTGCTCTGTTGTGTTGTACCTCTCATTAGTAGCTTCCTCGGCTACAACATGAACATGGGATCTTCTGAAAAAGGAGCTTCAGAAGCCCAAATCTCCAATCTCCCTAGTTGGAAGTACAAAGTCATTGGTGACACTTCTGATTCAGCCAATGATCCGGTAAGCTCTTCATCCTTTATAGTCAGAAAACAATCTCTCTATGGATCGTTTTACTTGTAGAACTGCAAGAACATTGTTAATATCGAAATCTTCGGTTTTTATGTGATGGGGTTTTTGGCAGGAGTGTTGCATATGTTTGGCAAAGTACAAAGATAAAGAAGAAGTGAGAAAGCTTTTATGTTCGCATAGTTTTCACCTCAAATGCGTTGATCAGTGGCTTCGTATCATCTCATGTTGTCCTCTCTGTAAACAAGATCTCCCCAACTAAAATCAAAACGAGACGCAAGTCACAAGATTGAATCTCTGATTAAGTTTCCATACTTTCTTTGTTTTGTTTTTCTTTTTTCGTGTACAAAGGAGCTCACCAGTAACTGTAACTACACCTGACTCTGTATACAGAGAAATGTAAGAAATTATAAAATCATTTTTTACAATAAAACTTACGTCAAAAGTGCTGTGGCTAAATACTAATAATATATTATCCTTGTTAAAAAAAAACTGTTCTCTACGATCAAGATATTGTCAAAAACGCTACTTCCACTGTGCTTGGTCGATCCAGCGTGCATCAGTGATGCTGCCTACGTGCAACATTGACCGGCCCTATCGACCGATTCTAGGTGATCTGGTTGATGTAGCCTGCATCAGATGGATTCTTAGTTTGTCTTTCTTCTACTTGGTGGTTCTTTTTCTCCATCGATTTCCTCTTGCTCCTAGACCTCCATTGTACCTACAGAAGATCATATATGCAATGCAGATGCAAGTAATGTAGTCTAGGACTCCAAGACTTAATTTAAACTAAACGGAACTTAAAATGATAGAAAATATGCAAAATGCAAGTCTAATATCTATTTAAGCTAAGTAAAATACATGCTAAGAATGCTAAAATATGAATACATCACTATTTCGGCAAAATTTAACCAAGTTCGCAAGTGCAAAGATCTACGGAATGGTAAGGGGAAGTATAGCTTTATTAATGAACGAGGTAGGCGTGTGGTCGGATAGTAATACAACGTTTCAATGTTAAAGCTATATGAAGAACTTCGTAAGATGTTAAAAACAAGGCTAGATCTCCGATATCTCTGGGATGCTGTGAAGATGTAGCTCTAAGGTTCTCTATGTGTTTTCTCATGATCCCTCAAGTTCTTCCTCCCCTTCTATTTATAAGGATCCCGTTTAGATATCCCTCTGCGCGTGGATGTAGGAACCGACTTCGTGATTCTCTTAGAATCAAGAATCTTTCGTTGTAATCCTTTTGTAGATAGGTTTACTCTATCCCGCATTAATCGCAGTAACCTATATTTGCAGAATACGTTTTCTGCGGGCTATGTTTATCTGTATAATGCATTATCTGCATGAACCACTAACTTTTGCAGTATGT